GGTGGATCTTCCTCAAGCACAAGGAGAGGACCTCGAGGCCCACTATCAGCCTCGAGCACATGGAGAAGCTGCCATGGTGGATCTTCCTCAAGCACAAGGAGAGGACCTCAAGGCCGACTATCAGCCTCGAGCACATGGAGAAGCTGCCATGGTGGATCTTCCTCAAGCACAAAGAGTGGACCTCAAGGCCGACTATCAGCCGCCAGCACATGGAGAAGCTGCCATGGTGGATCTTCAGCCTGACCACCATCTTGTGACGTCAAGCACATGTACATGGATAAGGCGCCAAATAAGCAAAAGAAAGGAAATGTATAGAAGGAGCGTCATATATGGAAGAGAAATATCAAAAAGGCTAGTTGATCAGTATAATAAGACCCATGAGGTCTATAAGATATTTGTGGACCTTGCATCACCGTATGATGATCGGCTTCATAACTTAAAATCCATCTGGGGGCATGATGGAAAACAAGCATGTGAATTGTTGCAAAATAAGCTATCTGAAGCGTTCAGTCTTCTCTACACCAAAAGGAAGATGTTCGGCCGCGTGGAATTATATTCCAAGGAAAAGGGAACCTTCTTGGATATTCTTTCTGGCTGGGCACGTGTATCAGCTGCATTTCTGCCATGGTTAGCCATCAGCCTCTTCCACAAGAGTCACAGAGATGTTTATAATGCTAATGATGTGAAGGCTACATATGCCTTGTTATGTTGTACAGCAGTGCTGGAGATTTGCTGTTCTTACATGAGCATGAGAGACGTAAACTTTGTTGGTTGTGGCCGTGCGGTACTCAGTTCTAATTCTGCAAAACAGGCAAAAAAAGGGATATGCTGCAGTCAAAAAAATTGGTTTCCTGGCAGCCACGGATGATGAAAGTCCTCATAAGACGGATCAGCACTATGGTACCCTTAAAGAGCTCTGTAGGCCAATGTAATCTGGTAGGGTTCTTTGCTTATAAGAAAAGGCACTCCTGGAAGATGTGCATGTTGAATTTTCTTGGCCAACATTGGTCCATGAAGCCCTGCAGCTCATCCGATGAGATTATAGAGTTGGTTCTTAAGTATGTAAAAAAGGGTGGGAAGATCAAATAAAAGATGCTAACAGTTACTGGAAGTTCAATGACCGCAGGGGGCAATGGACTCTTGAGGCTAACAAGTGTGACCAAGATCTGGGTTGGAGCTTAAGGAGTCCATTTGATGAGAGTGTCCTTCTCTGGCACCTCGCCACGGATTTCTGCTTCTACTACATGGGCGCATCAGCAGATCACCAATGTGCCACTGCTCAGTATCTTCAAGATGTCTCTGGTGAAGGCCATGGGTGTGCTGTTTGGTGTGAAAGATCTCCTCATCACGGAAGAGCTGTCCAGTGCAGAGAATTGTCCAACTACATGATCTACCTACTCTTATTCAATCCCGAGATGTTATTGCCTGGCACTAATTGGAACCTGTTCACAACCGCTAATGCGGAACTGGAGGAGATCCTCAAGGATGACAATCCATCGCTCATAAAGATCCTCAAGGACAACAAGCCTCCGTTCCTCAGCTGCAATGAGCCATTCGTTAAGGAAATTGAAAGAGGATTTATGCAGAGAATAATCGCCAAGGTGCAGCCCAAAGAAAACAGAGAAAAAAATGTTGAACACGCGGACTCGCCACTGGACGGGGAGACAGATGATAGTACCCAACACGGTTTTATCCAGGATGCGTGGAAGCTTGCTAATGGGTTGCTGCATATAGGTGATGATAACAAGATGTGGCAGGTGATCGAAGGTGTGTGGGTGGAGATGCTCTGCTTCTCGGCCAGTAGGTGCCGAGGGTACCTACATGCCAAGAGTTTGGGCACCGGTGGGGAGCTGCTCACATATATCTGGCTCCTTCTGTCGCAAATGGGGATGGAGACGTTGCCGGAGAGGCTAAACAGGACAGAGCTTTCAACTGAAGAAGGAAATGACGGCGCCACTCCATCGACTTCCCAGGTCAGAACCCCTACTAGGAAAGCTATTGTTTGAAAGACCATTTCTACTCTACATTTCAATCTTAGTTGCTTATTTGCTTATCCATGGATGCTTTTGTGTTATCCGTTCACTGTGATGTTCCTTTAATCGTTGCGGTTTTCTAGTATTACTGTTCTGCACTGATGCCAAGTTTGGAGATATTATAATTAACTATGTGAATGTGTGATCTACGAGATACCTGGGAGCGAAGATCCACCACCCTTCGGACACTCAAGGCCTCATGAAGCTGCTGCTGCTGGTGCATCTACCTCTCGACCTCAAGAAATACAACCAGCTGAATAATCTGAGAAATTATTGTCTGCATGTTGTTCTTATTACATGGAAATAATCATGTGTCTGTGTTACCCAATTGCCGTTCATTTCCTTGGGATCAGTGCTTGCAGCTGCTCCATTGTGCGGAGTCTGATGCACTAGTCCAGTTTGATTGATGCCTGGCAGTCTGTTTGTGTGCTGTTAGAGCTGTCAGATTACCATGTCTATAGCATGCCAGATTACTCCACGGACGCCTGTCCCGTATTGAATTCTGTAGCATGTTTGTTTGTAAGAGTGGATTTGGTGTGATTAGAGTCATTTGAACCGATGGTTTACCCGGTTATTGTAATAAATGTATTGCTACCCAAAGGTCAGAAATTGCAGTGCTTTTAAATTTTGCTCAAAATCTCCAGGATTTTATAGCTTTATGAATTGTGAGCATGTGATCTACCAGATAGACCAGCAGAATAACTTGTGAAACTATTGCTCTTTATTTACACGCGCAAATGATCACGTGTCTCTGTATTAGCAGTCTGCTGGTGGACTCTGATTTGTTTTGCTGCACTATTGTGTAGGGCTTAATACATACACTAGAGCTGTTGGTAACTAACTGCCAGTTCATCTCTACAATGGGTATGTCTGTACAACGGTCGCCCCATGCCGTAATCTTAGTTGCTTATTTGCTTATCGGCGGAAGCTCTGTCTCAATTTATTCGGTGTGATACACTGTTCATTGGTGTGGTTCTCTAGTTTTCTTTCTGAACAAGAGCCATGTGATGCCTCTTTGTTTCCTTTTTTTTCGAAATGGGGGGACTCCCCGGCCTCTGCATCAGAATGATGCATACGGCCATCTTATTAAACAATTAAATAGGTTCCAACAAGGTCTTAAAGTCTCAAAAACGAAAAAAGGAAGAGCTCACACAGAGCCAAAAGGGCTAGAAGACAAACTAGCCAAAAAAAAGGACGCCACAACCGGCTGGCAAAAGAGAGGTAGGTAAACTAATTGCATATCCTATTACATGACCGCCATCCAAACCGGTTGAAAATATCCCGTGCTACCATCTCCCAGCGAATAGATCGAGTAACCAAACGCTCCCTGGCCTCCGTCGAGGTGAGTAGCTACCACAAACAGATCAACGCCGTGGCTCGGAAAATAACCTGCAAAAAATGAATGTTTGTTGTCCTGTTAAAAATCAAATCATTTCTGCAGTTCCAGACTGCCCACAATAAAGCACAGACTCCTACGCGAATATGTCTCGCTATTTCGGGCTCAATCCCGTTAAGCCACGTTCCAAATAACGTGTTGACAGAACTCGGTGGAGTAATATTAAAAGCAATATGGAAAAATCTTGCTAGAGCACGAAAAAATGTGGAAAGATTTGCACGGTCTAACCTTAGGAGAATTATCACCAAAATTATGAGCCCCATCTCCAGCAGCAAGTACTTCCATTAGATGGCTAGAAGAGATGAATGCATCTGCCTTTGGTCTCCCGATACTTGCAATCCTGAGTGTCAAGCTATTTCAGCATCGAGGTTCGATAACACAAACAGGAGACACACATGACTTATTTAATTTGGAAGTCCAATAAGCATCAATGTGTCTTTACCTGCACCATAATTTACTGCCGCTCTAAGTTGACCTTCCTGATCCTGTTTCTTTGCAGCTTGTGCCTTGTCAAATGTAGGACCTAGAGCATAAGTCTTGCGGCACACGGCCATTACTCTCTCAGTAGTTTCACATGCACCCTCATCTCTATCCGAGGATGAAAGGGCAGCAAATCCAATTTTATTTAGCAGGCCACAAACAGATCGATAAATGACAATGTGATAGAGGTTTGCATTTTCCGCATCAAACGCCTTTAACTTTTCCAATTGAGAAGGCAAGGGTAGATTTGTTCTTCCAGACAACAAATGTTCCCTCTGTAGTTTCCTCAACTTCCAGCTGCGATAAGAGCTTGGACAACAGCATTACAGGCAGTACTGCAATACTCGTACAGGGGAAACAGGAAAGATGATGCAATACTAGTAGCAAATGAAGAAAAATTGTATGCATTAACAGAAGTAACACAGGATCACTACGTTGCAGCAGATCACAACAACCTAGAGAAATCCTGAAAAAGCATTTTGGTCCTCGATTTGCTACTGAGTGGCAGTTGATTTGCTGCTTATCAATCCCTGAAAAAACATTACAACAACAACAAGAGCAGTATATGAAACTGGACAGGGTTCTTTGCATCAGGGATGGGTTATTTTCACGCCAAATTGGATTTTGACATCTCTGAATCCATTAACTGAAACATGATGCACGCTCATAGGTTACAATGATAGCAGAACAATTAATAGCAATTTTACTAGCCACAAAGAGGAAAATATATCGCACTCATAGGTTAGTAGACTGTACAATTAATGTGGGTGACAGTCAACATCAGGCCTATTTAGCCATTGGCCATCTACAATTTAATTCTCAGCTGGCCAGCTCTTATTGAGCCTAAAAAGGGTTGGCTAGCTAGGTCATCTTGGACAAAGGTGCATGCGGAAGACTGTACAATTAGAGCAATAGTGATTAACCGATTAATTACATGTTGATGCCTTGCCCTTGACAAGGACTGAGGCAGCGCAGGTAGCCAGGTTAAACAAACTAACTCAGTACCACAAGGCCGCTGCGGCATTTCGTCGAACACTGTTTGTGCGTACCTCTCCGACCCGAGCATCGAACCCTTCCTCTTGTACTCCACTCCCCACCTAGCTATATACGATAATCTGTTGACCAAGCAGAGGCCAAGAGAAAAATCAGCAACGACGAGGGGGGTGTCAGTGGACCGCAAAAAATTGCATACCATCCACACAACCAAGTATATGGGGATTTTCTCCCCTTTGACCGACCCTTGGTTCGAGAACATATTGGAGAGCGCTGCTGTTACAACACGGCGGCGAGGCTCTTGGCTCCGGAGACGAGAGAAGGAAGGCTCTTGAATTATTAACTGAACCGGTTGCAGCAGAGTGTTTTCAGTTATCCTTACATGCACTCTCTAGTGAAATAATCAAACTGCAAACATTAGTGAGGGATCAGATGATGCTCTCCCTGATCGACTCTGGCACTAGTCAGTTCGAGACGGTGTTCCAGTAAGCAAGACATTTAGATCGAGCAAGGCACAATAATATGATGCCTCTCTTTGAAATACATCCGTTTGATTGGCTCACAGGTGCAGCGCATTATGACGTGCCGCATTTTGTTTTGTTAGAGGATGGTACGTTATACATGTTAAAGGGTATCTCTGAAATTTATCTTGAACCTGCCAAAAAAAAAAACTGATGCATTTCTTTTCTTGAATAGCCGGCAACATACATGGGGTAAATAAAGGGCTCGAGCAAGACTAGTAATTGCTCATAAGAATAGGGGGACTGAACAATTCATCATATCAAGAGTACAACACTAGTACAATGCGTTTACCCATGAATTTGACCATATTTAGCCAGGATCTCACCATCATTTGTTTGGTCCTGAATACATCACTCTGAATTCCTATGACATACAGTTACAATACTACAGCCCCGAGATAGAATAAACTCCACTTTCCGAGAGTCATTTGTGTTTTTGCAGTACAAGTTAAAAGCTGAAATACCAGTGCACTATTGACTGATCTATCCAAAAAAGCATAGTTTTTCAGAGAACCGACGCTTTTTCATGAAAAACTATGCTTTTTCCACATAGACACCCGCGAAAAAGAAAAAGGAAAAAACAGCTGCTTTAGAGAACCTGCAACCTGGGCTGCTTTCAGAGAGCGGAGCAGAGTAGCCTAAACTCCATTAGTTGCTTGAACTGCACAGAGGACAGCCTTGCGATGTTTCTTCACCAGCTACATGTCCGCCATGAAGTTTACATCTCTAAGTTCGTAAGTGTATATGTCACACTCGCAAGAAATTAGTATGGTGTCTGAATCTCTGTAGGTAAGTGCATATGGCATTATGGCTGATGCTTTCCCCATATCCCTGCATGGATTCGATCATCATGTAAACATTTGATTCCATTGGTCATGGCATTAGGTAAGAATAGTTAAAACTAATAGAAGTTGTAACAGAAGACGTACATATATCCTAGCATCATATCGTCCTTTCGCCTAAAATGATAATACCCTTCCTCGTTCGGCTCGAGTTTCAGCCTAGTCCTCTTCTTCCACCAATCGATCCTGGCAAGCAAAACAAAGCAGTGGGAGAACAACAAAGATTACATCAAGGAAGAATATTATTATTATCTAGAATGGAAGAGAGTGAGTGAGAGACCAAAATATTACCTGATGAATATTTGTCTGTATGTTGCAGGATTCAGATGTGTAGAACACGTGCCATTTCTTCTCATCTTCTCCATCCTCTGCATAAGCCTCGACTTGCTTGATATGACTGAACTTGTCCCACTCAGAGCTAGATTCACCCTCAGCCATGGAAGTGAGTACTTCTAGGTTACAGGTCAGCAGCAAATTATTGGGCTTTACAGTCTGCAGGTAGACCGGAAGTTGATTTTCCCAGGGAGAAACTATCAGCTGGAGTCTCCGGAGTGCAGCCATGTCCTTCAGTGTCTTGAGCTTTCTGCAGTACTTGATTGTAAGCTTTTGTAATTTTGGAAGATTGGAGATCATGGCCAATTCGGTTATGTTAGCCAACTCGAGCTCAACTACAGAAGCAAAGTTCTCTAGGGAGTTGAGACATTGGACACTCCATATTGCTAGCTTCTTCAATGCCATTGCATGGAACATAAGCCCTGGAGGTATACGACCCAGTTTGCAAGAACTGATAAGAAGTTCCTCCAATAAGGGCATAGCTTTCACTTCCGTCTCCCAAATCCACTCCTCCCATTCCTCCATTCCGTGAAAATGCAACTTCTGGAGTTTGGGAAACG